GACTCAGCCCATGCTTATTGCATCTGGATGAAGAACTCCTCCACAGCTGGACGGGGACCCCCCCCCAAGACGAGTGCATGCTACACCTCTAGGCGACCGGGGTGTCCAAGTGCATCTCTAGGGTCTCCGGTGCCACTACCAGTGAAGACCCCACATCCACTGCTGAGCTCGAAGGAGCAGGATCGCCATTCATAAATATTTAACAAATGCACCTTGGAACCCGCCAGGGGATTATCAGAGTGTGGAAAACAGGCACACGGAAAGCTCGAGGTCATTAAGGATGTGAGAAAAAGAAACAAACCACCCACGGCAGCATCGGTGACAGGATGCCAAGGGACACCTCCACCACAGCGCCCACTGCCAGCTCTGACAGCAGACAAGCCTGGCTCTCCTGCAGTTTCCCCGCTCTGTGGTGACCTTGAAAGATGTCCACGTCCAAGGCTGCCCTTGCACTCTCAAGACCAAGCCAGCAAGGGGCAAGGCGTGTGGCCTGATCACTCAAACCCTCCACCAAGGCAAAGGGAGGTGCTGGACCTCGAGAGAGCCAGCCACGCTTCATCCCGGAAGCCACAAAGCCCACCTAACTATGGCCCGAGGTGGGGAGGAGAAGGGTCACACGCCATACTGCTCTGCGGAGGTGAGTGGGGAAGCACAGCTTCGAAAATGTTTAGGTTTAGTTCATTTGCGAAACAACTCAACCCATGTTTGTTCTCAACCTAAATACACCTCCGATTAATTAAATAACTGCTTTCCTGGTTGACAGGAGCCTCTTCCGATCCCCAGACTTTGAGCCGCCACGGGGCGATTCATCCTTGTCCCTGTGTGGCAGAATCTTACAAGCCTTTCCCTGCCAGCAGTTACCTAGCAACCAGCCTAGCAACCTCGCAGCCAAGAGAGGAAGCCTCCAGTGCTGATCAGGAAGGAGCATCCAAAAAGACACTGGGCTTCAAGGATGTCGCCAAAGGAGCAGAGACACAGGCACCTGAGCTATCCAGATGAGAGACACAGAGGACGCACTGTTTACTTGTTGCTTCAACCTCTGAGAGGCAGGCCCCCTTGCCTCCATTCCCACACATGGAGGAGCAGAACCAAACTGGTGGCTGGGCTCAGGAGCCACAAAGAAGCTGCTGGGCCACCAACAGGGCAGGGAAGGTGTTCCGTCCCCACCACAGCTGTGACTGATGCTGGTGGGAGGGGAACACACCAGCAGGGAGAGCTCCTCTATGACAAACTTCCTGATATCTCTCCCTCACTCATACACCCGTTTTCAGAAAGAGAGCTCCCCAACCTTCGACCCGCTGAAGCTTGCACACAGCCGCGTGTTTGCACACACTCAGGGACAACAGAACCATCACTGGGCAAGAAAAGGCCAGAAGAAATTTCCAAAAGACGGGCACTCTTAGCATTTACAAAGAGCACCATGGCTCCTGATCCCTCCCTGCACTACAGTCCATGCCCCCATCCAGAACGGTGCAAAAACCCAGTAGACACTGAGTGACCCGTGGGCAGGTTACAATACACGTTGGCAGGACAGTTTCAGGTGAGTCCCAGCCAGGTGGCCCAGCACAGTGAGGAGCTGGCACTATCAGAGTAGGGTACCTCATACACATAGCCCCCAGCAGGTACATGGGGAGCAGAGCACCTCATGTTTCCGACTCAGAAGGGCCTTTGGCAAAGGCAAGAGGTGCCTTAGAAAGCAGGTCACTCACCTGCTAAGGTCTAGCACAGGTGCCCCAGGAAGCAGCCACGTCAGCTTGCCCACCCAACTGGCTCCTGGAGCAGGGCTACCTGGCTCCCATCCTGCCTCTGCTTTTGCCACTCCCTGACTGTAAGGCCTCAGGCTGGTCACCTGCCCAGCTGGGTGAGAACTAATGAGTGTTCTATAGAGGCTCACCCCCAAACCTGGCCCAGACAAAAAGGCTCCATCTGGGAGCTGCCTGCCACAGAGGCTACTAAACAAGCAACGGAAGCACAGAGACCTGGGAATCCGGCCAAGCCCCCTCCCCAGCAGCATGATCAGTCAGGCATTTACTTATTAAGCAGTAACTGAGCACACACTAAGCACCAGAGATGACATCGAGGAGCGATGACGGCACTGGCACAGGCTCCTCAGAAGGAGGTTGCCTGCAGAGTCCCCACACCCTCAGCTTCGGCTGGCATTCTCGTCTCAAGGGGTTGCTATGGCCTGGTTTCCTTCCCAAGGTCACCAGCTCAGGTCCAGGAGCCGCTGCTGCAAAAGACTACCTCTGTGGACCTGGCCAGGACACTCTCTCAGGGTCCTTACCCAGAGAGAGACATGGGACAGTCCAGCTCCTCAGAGGATGGATTCTTAGGGAGGAGGTCTGGAATTCATGACACAGAAGCAAGAGATGAGAGGAAAAAAAGAATGCTTACAGGGCCAGGCATGGTGGAACATGCCTATAATTCCAGCACTCAGGAGGCTGAGGCAGGAGCATCTTGAGTCTCATGCCAGCCTGGGCTACACAGTGAGACCCTCTCTCAAAAAAAAAAAAAAAAACAAAAGAAAAGAAAAAACAGAGAACACTGACAAAGGCCTCAGGTGCCTGGGCCTGCACAGAGATTTGAGCTCTGTGGGGTCAAGCAGCAGCTGAGGGCCACAGCTCCAGGAAGGGTCTGGAATCAGCAAGGGAAAGGAGCGTGCAGAATGATCCTCTGGGGAGCTGGGTGCCCTGGAGATGAGACTCCCCCACAAACTTACGAGAGCCCTCTGGTGCTTTGGTCAAGAGCAGGCTGCCTGGGTTCAAGCTCTGTGGCCTCTGTTTCCCCTCGACTGTAAGATGGAGCTAAAAACAGTGCCTACCTCCTAGAGCATCTATGGAGAGTCAACTCAGTAACAGCCTAACCAGCTGGGGCACAGCCTCACTCCTGGGAGCACTGGCTCATTGCAAAGAGCAGCAGAACAGCGGGTCAATAATCCCAGCTGAGAGGGACCCCGGGCTTCTTGTGAAGTAGAAGGACAGTCATGACATGAGAAGCGGGCTGGAGCGCAGGCCAGGGGAGGTGGTGACAGAAGGCACTGGCTCTGGAATCCCAGCAGCTCTGTGACCACCTGAGGCTCACAGCCCCATCAGTAAAGAAGCAAACGACATCCCTACGGAAGACTCGCTGGGGCCGAAGAAGCTTAGCATATGCTCACAGCGGGCAGGTGTGTGTGAGGCTAGGGGGTCAGCTCCTTGCAAAGCAATCCTACAGGGGACCCACTTCAGCCACCACCTTCCCAGAGGTGGCAGCAGAGGTGTCACGAGACTTCTGCCACCAACAGCCAGTCCACTGGGACAGCAAGGATCGTCTGAGGTCTTGCCAGGTCTTCTGAGCCCTCAGGTTCTGTGCAACAGCAGCCAGGTAACTGCAGTCCCAGCCATGGCTGCTGAGAGCCCTGGTGGCAAATGTGCGTCACTTGTGCCTTAGGCAAGGGACCTGGGGACCTATGTCAGGTGAGTGTGTGGGAAAAGCACAAACCAAGGACACCAGAGGGGACAGAGCCTGGCACACAGGGGCTCAACAGATGGAGTGGCTGTTGACTTCAGTGACAGGGTGGGGGGTGCAAGAGAAACCCAGACAATCAGATGGCAGATAAGGTGACCCTGACACCAAGGTGTGATTCCATGCTGTGGAGGGGCTTACCTAAGGTCAAGCCATCTTAATCCCGGCTGTGCACATCACCTCATATTAACTGCCACGTCAGGAGTCACAGGAGAAGCACCTAGGTGACGCCACAGTACACCACCGACTGCATGCAGACACCGCGGTGCCTTGGCTTCCCCATCTGTGGTTAGGCTAGCAGAATAGCAGCTGCTACTGCTACTAGTTGGGGGGCGGGTAGGAAGATGGCGGCCAGAAGGGCAAGTAAATGTCGCCAGTGATGCAGAAGATAGTGACATCCATGGCACCTATCCCAGAGGAGTGTGGATCAATGGGCAAGAGGAGGGGTTACAATCAGATTAAGTCTGACCTTCCCCCCTCACTCCACAAAGCCACCTCACATCTCTGGCTTCATTTGCACCTATTAACTGGGGGGACGGGGTCCCCAACCCAACTTTCTGCAATTCCCAAGATTACCCTAAAAATCAAACAAAAGACAATGCTGTGCAGGGTGCTGGAGCCTGCAGGGAGGGTTGTGCGTCTGTGCACCCTACAAAGGTAGCCTGCTTGCATATCCAAGTGTGGGGAGCCAGAGAACCAGTCAGCGCCACTGTTCCAGGCCTGAAGACTAAGGAATTTCTCCCAATTCACTCCTCCCAATCTGGGGGCAGTCACCAGGTTACCTTTTCTCACCTGTTTCCCAAGGAGCAAGTTTCCAGAAGATCAGTTCCTCTACTGCTGCGGCTGTAGAAACCACCCACACTGTGAAGACTCCTCCCACCAGACTGGCTGGAACCCACCCCTTTCAGCAGCCACCTCCCTTGGTGGCAGGAAGCAGGGAAGGGTAGAAGTTGAATACAGGGCTCTGCAGTCACACCAGCTGTAGATCCTGGTTCTACATACAGAGCTGTGACCGCCTATGCCACCTCCTCCATCTGTGGATGGGCTGAACGGCAACACCCACCTCCCTCAACAGCCCTCCAATGAGCTCACATAGGTGCCAGGCTCCAAACCCTGCCTGGTGGGCATTAAGTGCGCCTGTTAACCTTTTGGTATCGTCTGCTTCCTTCCTGCCACTGTTAGGAAAGTATTTTAATGTTTACTAAGTAGTTTTTCATGTCTGTAACCTTTGTCTAAAACAGTTGATAGGTGGGTTTCCCGTTATAAAAACTAAGTAATACACGATCATTTTGGAAGATGAAGAAAAGAAAAACAAAAAATTTAAAACCATAAGGGTAACATCTTCATCACGAGCCAGAAACTGTGGGGTTTGCACAACTGGGTATTATCCCAGATGAATGGTGTCATGTCCTGTTCCTGTCTCTCTGGAAGTCATCTCCACAGCTCAGTGAATGCCACCTGGGGGTAAAGGCAGCAGCTGCCCCAGGGCCACTCACCTTAAACCTCTCGGTGACGCCCTCGGTGATACTGACGGTGAACTCAGCTATCTTGGGAGGACGGCCTTTCCCTTTCTTACGGTCAGGTTCATATTCAGTCTTAGTTTTCACGACCACCTTACGCAAGAAACAGAGAAGCAAGCAGTCAGTGATAAGCCAGATGCGCTCAGAAACATCTGCCCCAAATGGATAAGTCTGGGACTAAGGAGTTCAAAATCACCATTCCTCCAGGAAGTAGCTCACAAACAGAAATGAGAGCAGCCACCACACATGGGACTCCTCTGTACGGGCACTGCCAGAGAAACCGCCCACTCTAATCCTTCAGCGGCCTCTGGGGAGACATCAGAGCCGAACAGAGGGGAAGACAAGTTGAGCTCATTGGCCAAGGCCACCCAGTTACTGAGTGCAGGGGCAGCATGGTATCGACTCCTTATCCAGTGCCCCTCCTGCCTACCAGAGCTGAAATCTTGGTTCAGGGCATGGGGAAGACACCACCCACCAGCCCAGGGTGGGCATAATCCAGGCAGACCTGAGCGAACTGCCCAGAGCCTGTCTCTAGAACTCTGCAGAAGGAGCAGGAGGCTGGCCTGGGAGCAACCAGACCTCAGGTCACCCATGAATGCTCTCTCCCCTGCAGTACACAGGCTGGAGGGTCTCCTGCCCTCATCCCTCTCCACTTTGCACCAGGAACTGGAAACCAGTCCATACCCTGCCCTGTGCAAACGCTCCCCTGGGTCCCTGTCAGCCTGTGCCACTCCTCCTCCTCTGGGCGCTCCCAGCGTGGCCTTCCCGCTTTGTCTTCATCAGGGACTGTTTACCTCTCTGTCCCCACTTGACATGCAGGTGCTCAAAAGTGGGATAGAGGGCGTTTCCTCTAATCCCCAAACTGCACTCCACAGCAGGTGCCCAGCAGTGGCTGTGGGACAGAAAAGAACCAGCCACCGGTGCTCTTCTCCCTGGAGGACACATGGCCTTCATTGCATTGTCTGCAGTTTGGGGAAGACACCTGCTCTCCATGACATTGGGACCAAGGGCAAGGAGAATCCAGCAAATCAGGATGGCCAGCCTCAGGGAGAAGGGTCAGTGCACTGGTCAGTGATCACCCTGACTCCTTACTTCTTTACACAGCTGTCCGGCAGCAGGCAGTGGGGTAGGGAAAACACCCACCCTTCAAGGTGCCACCCACTTCTTGAGGCAGTATTTGGGTGTCACCTGCCATCCTCAAATCCCTAATGCACCTGTGTAGCCTAGTGACCTTGAGCACACACTTGGCTACTTAGAGCCACCTCACTCACCTATAAACTGAGAATTCAGCCGAGGGGACACAAGCTTATCACTTCATTTTCACATGTCACATGGGGCAGTGGTGGGGATTACCTCACTGTGCACCCCTTAAAGGAATTTCAACCTCTGAAGTTCACAGAATGATGCATGCCAACAAACGTCAGTCAGACATTCCCTGACACGGCTGCCAGCCGTGATTACCCTTGCTGTTGCACCTGTGGCCCTCAGCACTTGCCACACAATCAACCCAGGCGTAACCAGGCCCTCAGAAGCCAAGTCACCTGCGGCAGGTGGTAACACGTCCCTGAACGCTGGTTGTGAGCAGTGCCATTGTTCAGGCTGAGAGAGGTCAAGTGTGAGAGGCGTCCAACTATAAGCAGAGCAGAGGAAGAGGCACTGCCTCTCACCATATCCTGGAGGACTGCACCCTTCAGCACAGTGACCTTGGGTACACCCTGCAACTGCTCTCAGCCTCCGTCTCCTCATCTGTGATCTCAGAAGCCTTCTAGCCAAACCAAGGGCCCTTGCTGAAACTCCTTTCTATGGAGGTCCCCTGCCATTGGCCCCCTTGGTTTGAACAGGGGTTCTCACAGACAGAAGATTCCCTCAGTACCTTTCAGAGCCACCTAGGCCACTCCTGTGCAAAGTGACTGGTTGGCCAGGATTTAGTACCTGCCAGAAACCGTCCTTCCTGTATAAGCCCTGACGCCCAAGCATACAGGGCAAAGAGAAGGCTCAGGCCAAGCAGAGGGAGGCACCTGACAGAGGGCTGCCTCAGGACAGAGTTCCTGGTGCAGGCCACCACTGCTCCTCAGCTGAGCAATTAGGGGTCAGGCAGAAGGGACAGGAGGGGCCTCGGGGCCAGGATCTGCTAACTGGACAAGCCTGACACCCACACAGGGAGGGGCAGTGCAGAAGCTGAGGCCTCAGACAGCCCTGCTCCTCTTGGGAAGCTCGGCCTGGACCATCAGCACCCTGGAGCCAGCCCCTTCCCTGTCGCTGAGGTCCCCAACCCAAAACAAAGACAATAGAGTTAGGGGACAAAGCCACTTGGGGAAGCTAAGCAAGCTTCTGGTCCCACCCTGACCCATGCCTGCCCTGAGGTCAGCAATCACTAACCTGCCTGAATGAACAAAGCCCTGAGTCAGAGCCTCTTCACCAGGGACCAAATGAAACAATAAACGTAACAGCACTTTGGGGAATAGCCAGAGAACTCATCTGTGGCCCGAGAGGGTTGCAAGCAGCAGGAGGACGAAGGGAAGGGATGCTATGTTTATGTGTTTATCATTTTAGATTTAAGTTCTGCAATACAATTGTCTAGACTTTTAAAGATGGGAGTAGCCTTCAAGTGGAATGAGTGAAAATACCCATATTGGGCAGCCAGTACTCCAGTGGATGCTGTATTCAAGAAAAGGGGGCTCTTTAAATTCAGCACCGTATAAGCAAAAAACGCTTTAGGGAAAGGTTGGTGAATGGTTGGTTGTTCCCAGTTGCAATAGCACGAAGTGAGACACCAGGGCAGTAATTTGGAGCCTTCGAAAAAGGAACAAAGAACAAGGAGGCTGCCTGTGAGGGCACATCCTGCATCAGTACCCAAGGCCAGTCTGGCAGAGGAGGGCAGAAAGGGCTAGGAGGGGAACCACAGCCCTAGGGAAGCTAATCCCACACCCACATTCAGTGGGCCAAGGTGGGTTTGAAACTGCACCTCCTTGGAAGGCGCCTAGCAGCAGCACACCCTGGGCTCACCCCAGACCCAGAGCCACCTGGTACCACGGGGCAAGGGAGGAGCAGGGCAGGTGGGGCCAGGGACCACTCCCCGCTAGACTCCCACAAAAACCCCGGACCGAGTTCCGTTGTCAAGACGAAGCTGTCATCTAAGGCAGGGGCCCCCCAATACCGTGATCCAGAATCGAGGGCGGGCACATTGTGCGGGCCCCGCCTTCCTCTGCCTGCCCCAGGCCGCCCCCACTTCGTGCCCCCAGAGCGCTCGGTATTTCTTTGTTGCCGCCGCCCCCGAAATCTAGGGGTACGCACCGGGCAGTGCGGGAGCCCTTACCTTATCCGGGGGCGGGAACTGCAGCTGATTGACATCGAGAGGCGTCATCAAGGGAATGGTGTCGAAGCCATCCTCCAGCAGTGGCTGCTTCGTGCCCTTCTCCCCAAAATTGTTCCCCAACTTCACCATGGTTCCGAAAGACCCGAGGCTGCCGCCTGCGCAGGGAGGGCCGCGGGGAGTCAGGGGAGCAGGAGCCGGGGCGCGGCGCAGCGAGGCGCGCTCCGCACACCCACCCGGCCCCCGCCTCGTCTCCCGGGGGTGCCGTGGGGACGCGCGGCGGTCACGGCCCGATTTGGGGAGGAGGTGGAGGTGCGGTTAATTTAGACTCCCACCTCGTGGGACGAAGCACCCCGCCCAGGGGCGCACCGCGGACGGAGGAGGGGGCGCCGCCCCTGCCCAGCCCCTCTAAACGTGTCCCTTGTCCTGTGCCGCTGCGCTCCGACGATCTCCCGTCTACCCGCCTCCCCGTCCCCTCCTAGATGAACGAGAGGCCCCAGACCGCGCTCCCCGCGGGCCAGCACTCACCCCACACTCGGCTCCGGTCCGACTCCCGCAGGTCTGGGCTCCGAGCGCGCTCCGAGCGTCCGCGTCGCCCGCTCCCGCGCGCAGCAATGGCGGAGGCGGCGCGGCGCGGCCCGGGCAGGGGAGAGCGATTGGGCTCCGCGGCTCCCGCCTCCGCGCGCCGCCTCCCTGCGCCGCTCCCGGGGGCCGACCGTGCGCGGGTGAGTGTGTGCGTGTGGCCGCGCGGAGCGCATCCGCCTTGACGCAGCGCCGCCCGCCTGCAGCACAAAGGAGCGCGGGGCTGGGGCGGGGGCCTCCCTGGGGACCCCGCGCGCTCCCCGATCGCGGAGAGGCAGACCGAGGGCACTGGAGCGCGCCCGGTGGGAGGCTCGAAGCGGCGCGGGGACGCGCCGGGCTGGGGGAGCGGGGTGCGGGCTGAGCAACGTGGGGCGGCGGCTGGGGCGCAAGGCGATACGAGTGGAGAAAGAGCGGGGGAGATCCTAGAGATGTAGTGAACCCCAGAGGTGGAGGGAGATGGAGAGGGGGTCGGGGTGCAGAAGGACGGTGAAGAGTTAAGGTGGGTATCCAGGTGGTGGTGCGCGTCTGCTCAGAGACCTGAGCGGTCCTCGGGCTTGGTGGGGAAGTGGCGAAAAAAGAGGGCGCGTCCCTGTGTAAAGGGGGCACGCCTGGGAAAGGAAGGCGGGATTTTCTGCGGGGCGGGATGCGGGGGTAGGTTTCCCTGAGGGCTGGGGACGTGAGTGCGGGGGATGTGGCACTGTCCCTTGGGAGCGGGAGGGCAGGTATGCAGAGCAGAGAGAGCTTAGCGCGCGGGGTGGAGGAGTGGGGAGCGGAAAGGGTTCCGTGGTCTGGTCGGAAGAGAAGGCAGGGAACACCCCACCCACTGCGCCACAGCCCACTTGAGCATCCGCACAGCGGAGAGGCCGCTGGGACGGTACCCGCTCCCAGGACTTGAACCGCGCCGCGCCCCTCACCCCCACGCCCACCCGAGCGGGGCCGCCGTTGCAGCCCCCCAGGTTAGGGTCACGCTTTGCGGACTTCTAGACAGCCCCGCCTATAGAGCTCGCGGGGTGAAAAAATGCGGGGGTACGGGAGTGAGGCCAAAATGGGAATGGGGCTGGAGGTGGGGGGCCTGTGGCTGCGAGAGGATGGGCACCCTCCTAACACCTCCTCTGGAAGTGATCAGAGGAGGCGCCCACAAAGTCGTTACTGCTGTCCCCAGACTCTCAGGGAACAAAGGGGAAACCAAGCCCCCAAGATCACTCACTTCCTGGCCTTGAGCCCCAAAGCCATTCCTGGAGCCCGCCCTGAGTTGAGACTTCAAACTCCCCAGGAGGGCTGTGCCTTTATAGGGGAGGCCTCCCGCAGGGTGTAACTCACCTTTGAGGCTGGGCCCAGGGTCTTGGAGTTCTGGTTCTCTAGATCAGCTCAGGGAGAGCCAGAGTCTCAGGCTTGCCTCTGCCACAGGCCAGGAGGAAGCTCGAAGCCACCTCTCCCACACCTGATGCCCCCCAAGTCGTTAGAAATGTTCTCTGGGCACCAACCTGAGTTGTCCCTGGTTCACATGGTTGCATGAATGTGACTGTCCATGAAGGGATAGATAGTGGCTTGTGAAAGGGACTGGCTTTGTCCCCATCTCAGACCCAAGTAGTTTACAGATTCCAACGCATACAGGTAGACCACACACACACACACACACACACACACACACACACACAGTGGTCAGGATCCCACACAGGGAGCAACAACGTGGGGTCCTCCCTCTCTCTCCAAGACTGTCAAAAAGGACCCTCATTGATGCAGAGACAGAGACGTTCACATAACCACTTGCTGCTTTCCTGTGCTAACCTGAGTTATGACTGGTCCACAGCGCTTTGCTGTTTCCCTGTGTGTGGTTTTCTTCCTCTGCTGATTGTATCTAGGCCCTGTGAAAAGCACAGGACCCACTGCCACCCATAAGGAGCTCATGGATGAGGGGCATCAGTTCCCATGGGGAGGTGGAGGGAGAGGCAGACCAGGAGGGTGTGGGGGAGAGGAGACAGATGCTCAAAGGAAGTGTGTGTATTAGCTTCCAGCCTCTGCTGGAACAAATCACCAATAGCTTGGTGGCTTATAACAAAAATGTGTTCTCTCACAGTTCTCAGGCCAAAAGTCCAAAAGCAAGGTGTCAGTGGCCTCCTCTTGGCGCTCCAGAAGAGAACCTGTTGGGCTTCAGGCCTTGGTGGCCCCTCATTGGCTGGTGGTCACATCAATCCAACCACACCCCCTCCTCTCTGACTTGTGTGTCTCTCCCTCTCTAATCTGCTCACTGGTCCAACTTGGATGCTCCAAGAAAATCTTTTCCTTTCAGAATCCTAACCAAATCACATCTGTTGCCATATACCCGGTAGCCACTCTTCTCCATTCCAGGTTGTATTCACGGGTTCCCAGTACAGGATATGGGTGAACATATGTCCCTCACTTTCTAGACCATGAGCAAATCCAGGCAGAACCACGTCATCTCCATTTCAATGTCTCCTGTGTCTAGAACAGGGCCTGGGACATGGGTCCTGAGTAATCACTTGGGTAGGCGTCCTCTTCATACATTCAGACTTAAACATCAGCTGTACAGCCAAGTTCAAGTGTGGAGTAAGAAAGTTGACCGTCCAAACTGGAGTCAGGGCTGCACATGACATCATTATCATAGTCTCTTTCCTAGATTTAACCTTACTACAAAATGCTCATTTCTGGAAAGCTCCAAGCATTCTTTAAAGATGCATAATGTATAGACAAACATATGAATTGTTTCTTGTGGTCCTTAGTGTTTTTTTCACCTCTGTGCCCCCAGTACTTGGCTGTACAAAGCAGTTGGTAAATGGTTAGGGGACAAATGGTTTATTTTTGTTTCTTTTTTGTACTCATGGATCTGAGTAAATACTACAAGGGGCCCAGAGGCATTTTGGTGACCTTTTAGGTATTTAAACAGAACTGTATACATATGTCATGTTTGGGAGTTTTCAGGGTTTGTTGTTTTGCCTGATAGTCTATAAACCACTCAGCAATAGCTAATTTTCCAAAATTATTTCTGAGATCCACTTTTGCTCTGGCTGTGAGGTCCTTGACTTTGGAGGTGGATGAGTATCCTTGTCTGGACCTCGGTTTCCCTTTCTATACAGTGATGGGACTGACCACAAAGGTAATTCTTTTATTTCAGCTCTGATTTTGGGTATATGAAACAAGATAACTTTCCTTTCTTCTTCTTCTTCTTCTTCTTCTTCTTCTTCTTCTTCTTCTTCTTCTTCTTCTTCTTCTTCTTCTTCTTCTTCTTCTTCTTCCTCCTCCTCCTCCTCCTCCTCCTCCTCCTCCTCCTCCCCTCCTCCTCCTTTTCTTCTTCTTCTTCTTTCTTCTTCTTCTTCTTCTTCTTCTTCTCTTCTTCTTCTTCTTCTTCTTCTTCTTCTTCTTCTTCTTCTTCTTCCTCCTCCTCCTCCTCCTCCTCTTCTTTCTTCTTTCTTCTTCTTTCTTCTTCTTCTTCTTCTTCTTCTTCTTCTTTTCTTCTTCTTCTTCTTCTTTCTTCTTCTTCTTCTTTTCTTCTTCTTTCTTCTTTCTTCTTCTTCTTCCTTTCTTCTTCTTCTTCTTCTTCTTCTTCTTCTTCTTCTTCTTCTTCTTCTTCTTCTTCTTCTTCTTCTTCTTCTTCTTCTTCTTCTTCTTCTTCTTTCTTCTTCTTTTCTTTTTCTTCTTCTTTTCTCCTCCTCCTCCTCCTCCATGAGGTCATTCGAAATCTTTTGGTTTTTTTTTTTTTTTTTGGCAGTTCTGGAGTTTGACCTCAGAGCCTTATGCTTGCTAGGCAGGCACTCTACCTCTTGAGCTACTCCACTAGTTCTCAAAATCTTTTTCATGACAGACTAAGATCTGAAGTTAGTTTTTGTATGCACAGACTTCGGCCCTCGGAGTGGACTTAGGGTTTGGATGTGGCCATTCAGGGTTCCCGGGGCCTTGCACAAACGCCACTAACTTCTCTGTCCTTTCAAGGACAGAGCAGAATGGTGCCCAGGCCCTTGGAGAGTTCAGGGCCAGCTGGTCACAGGTGACAATCTTGCCCCCAGCCTTGAGGATGTGGCTGAGGCCCTGTCTGGGAAAAGAGGGCCAAGACAAATGAGTTTTAATGCCCCGCATTTGATTCTTAGTTTGGATTTGAGAGCAGAGCATTTCAATTTTGTACAATCAATGGCATAGTCAGCAGAAGCTGATTTCCTTCTGCTGGATAACATCTCCAAGATTCTGGAAGCTCTGAACTCCTATTGTAGCCAGGCTATTTTCAGATGTCCAAACATGCCCAGCCCTAAAGTCAAAGACGTTAGAGTGGGGAAATATTTAGAACAAGAAGCATCATCCCTGGCTAGCTGGAGGGACTCAGACTGCAGTAGCCAGGCTTCTCCAGGCTGGCAGGACCAATCAGAGTCATAGATAGATTATCTATCCATCTATCTATCTATCTCGCTATAGATGTGAGGAAGAAGGATTTATTAGTGGAATTAGCTCAGACAATATAGAAGCAGGGAAGTCCCCTGACTTCTGCAAGCTGAAGACCTTGGGGTGCCTGCAGCATAGCTCATCCAAGAACAGAGGCCTCAGAGTCAGAGAGGCCTATGATTGATTCTCAACCTGTGGCCCAGAGCCTGACAGTTGAGGGCTAGAACTTGAGTCCAAGGTCAGAGAGCCTGGAGCTGTGATGGCCAAAGGCAGGAGGTGAAGAGTATCAAGCTCCAAGAAAGGGAAAGCCTCTTCTGTCCTCTTCTGACCCATCTGGGCCCTGAGCCAATTGGACGGTGCTTGCTCACAACAAGGGTGGATCTTCCCATCAGCCCACTGACTTGCATGCCAGTGTGCTCTGGGAACACCTCCCAGACATGCCCAGAAGAAAGACTGCCCCATCCTTCAGGTGTGTTCCTTAGCAAGCTGACACCTAGCATCACTTGTCACACAGATAAGCAAGATTCCCTCTGCCCACACCTGTCCTTCCAGGCACCTCACTGGCCTGGATGACCTAACAGTGCTATGCAGGGCACCTGTCCTTGTACCAGCACATGCTGTCTCAGACACGAGCTGGGTACACACAGTGTATACCTAGGCCCC